CTGGTGAAGATATCCATCATGACATTGTTGGTGAGGATCTGTGTGAGCGAGTGAGGCGCTCTGATTCTGTGACCCTCTTCATGCATGATAATACATCCACACATGATGGGTACGGAATTGAGGAAGTAGGCAACCAGGGAAGCCTGCAGCCTAGGGCATCACTGGCAATTTCCCCAACGGAGTATTTAACCACAAAGGGAAGAGCAATTAAAGCTAATCGCTCTGACAGCCTGGGGCCCAGACACACATACCACTTTCCCTAACTCCCAGTGGTCTTCCCCCACCTTCATCCTCCCTAATTTGTTTAGTGCACTTTCAAGCACTTCTCACATTTCTCTGACCATCTCTGTCTCTCACTTCCTCCCTCTCCTTGGTTCCCTGACTATCTCTGGACCTCTCTGGAGATGTCTATCTGCTTCTCACACACATTCCTCTCATTCTCTCTCTGACGGGCTCCATTCTTGGCTGACTCATACCCATTCTTTTTCCTCTCCGTTTCTTCCACCCCCTCCTCCTCCATCCCTTGGCCACTCTTACCCAGAAACTAGCCATTCCCAGCACCCTAAGCCCTAACTGGACCCAGGAAGAGAGGCCACCAGAAGCCCCTACTCTCATTAGCCCGCAAAATCCTGTCTCCTTGTTTTAGAGGAATGAGACCAAGATTTTCTCCCATCTTTCCCCACTGTTAAAGAGGAACAATCTGAAGCCAGGGGCTGGGAAAAGCTGCCAGAAAATCAGGATGGATTTGGGGACAGTGGCCCTTTCTGTCCACTCAGCTGTCCTGTCGGACTGATGACTTGGAGCCCGCAGTTCAGAAGACTCCTCATGGGATGCCCCACCCCACAGAGTGGGGGTGTGGTGGGCGGCCGGATGCGTAGTGCAGGGACGTTTGTGATTTGGAGTGTGCTAGACTATGTGTATAAGTCACATGGGTGTGTGTCACTGTGTGTGCTGGCGTGCCTTATAGGTGTGCGTGTTTCCCTGTCAGTTCTGACACGGATTATATGAAATTAATAAGGGTTTTTACGTTAGATACATCACTCCTCTACACCCCCAGCTCCTCCTTCCCTCTGGACAAGCTTTCCACCAAGCCCACCTCTTCCTCAGGTGCAGTGGGCTGGGGGTGAGGGCACATGGAACCGAGACAGGGCTGGGCCGGGAGACCGCCAGCGGAGGCGAGTCCGAAGCCTGAGCGGGGAGGGAGGGGCGGGCGCTGGCCTGGCCAAGCCGGCTGGGCGGGAAGCAGGCTGCATCCTAATCCCCAGGCCCCGGTCCGACTCTCAAACTGCCGTTCAGCGTGGAATGGGCTGGCCAGAGCCACGCCGCCTCCAGCACACGCTCGGCGCTCAGGACGCACCGACCGAAGGACGGACCCCGTGGGGCCTGACACAAAGTGGACTCGTCCGGGGTCCCCACGCTCCCCGTCTGGCCCCGGTGTCCCAGATCGTTGCCCCTCCAAGCCTAGACCCCCAAATCTGCCCCTTCCCCGCGACATGTCTCCTCTCCGCCCCTCTCACCGCCTCTGGAGCTGAGCGCTCAGGGCGCGGGCACTCCTGAGTCCCCGGTTCCTGAGCAGCGTCCGGAACCTCCTCCTCGGCTCCCGCCGCCGCCGCCGCTTCTGCCGCCGCCGCCGCCTCTTCCGCCCGCGGAGCCAGAGCCCGAGCCCAGCGTCGCTCACTCCACCCGGCTGGCCGGTGATGTCAGAGCCGGGGAGGGGCGGGGGGCGGGGAATGGCGGGAGGAGGGGGAGGGAGGGGGAGGCAGGAGGGGGCGGGGGACAGAGGGGCTGGGGTTCTGGAAGACTCCTAGGATGGGGGACAGAATTGGGCGAAGGGCTGGAGCAGAGATGGTCTCTTCCCCCTGAACTGCGAAACAATTCTCATATTTAATTATTACCCAGTAGGGCACCCTCCTCCCCTTTTGACCTTTGGATGACCACGGGGCCTAGGACCCCTGGGAGGCACAGAGTAGGTTCGGTTTAGGGGTTTGGAAAGCCTTTGGGGGCTGGATTCTCTTAGCTGCTGGCTTTGATATTAGTAAAAACTTACTTCCTTGCCTTAAGGGTCAGGGGCGCAGTGGTAAATGACTGATCAGACTTATCCACATTGGGAGTGAGGGGTCCGGGCCACATGGGGTCTTGAGGAGCCCTGGATCTTCTCTTTCCAGGATGATGCCTGCAGGCCCTCTTGCATTCCTCTCACCTTTCCCAAACATGCCCCACTCCTGCCTTCCCCCTACCATGATGTAATTTTATTTTCTGGGGAGAAAAAGAGCAGCAGTGAGCTCAGCATGCAAATATAGACAACTTGCAAAGCCACACTTAGCTCTGTCTCCTAGCTCTGCCCCTCTGCCCAGGCCCAATGTGGCAGCTCTCACTTCCCCTCTACCCCAGGGACTTTCCTCCCCCAGATTCTCAGCCAGACTGAAAAGAAGAAAGGAAGAATTGGAGAAGCATCTGTTTTCACCCCCATCTCTATAGCTTAAGGGGTCTGGTCTCAGTTCTGGGCAAGGTTTGGCTCTGGAAAGAAGTCTGACCCTGGGTAGGTCCTTTCTGCCAAGAACTCCAGCAGGCCCAGGTTGGGGGATTCCCCTCAGTGTTTGTGCCACTTCCAGGATCACCCCATCTCGCCTCAGTTCCTACCTGGCAGAAACTCCTCCAGAAACCTCAAATGAGCCCCTCCTTTCTCAGGTCTACACCACTCCTAGAAGAGGCTCAAGTTCCTGCTGCTCTGGATTTCATAGCCTTTCTCTGCTGTTTCCTCTCCCCAGCATTCCCTGTCACACCCTAATCATTTGCCTTTGCATATATCATGTTTGCTCTGTGTTGTAGGGACAAAACCTATTTCGTTGACCCATCTTTGAGACTCATGTAGTTTCTAAGTGAAAGGCTCAGGTCTGGAGGCAACAAGACCCAGGGGCCTTGGGCTGCATGCTAGTTCCACCCCTTCCTTGGGCAAGTTATGTCTGAAAGCCTTAGTGCCCTCACCGGTCAGATGAGGGTGCCGATGCCTATTTCTGAGGGTTCTTCTGAGATTCAGAAATAGTAAGTCTCTAGGGACTGGCACAGATGGGTGCTTAAAAAATAGGAGCTATTATTTAGACCGGGGCCTTCCACTGACCTATGCTAGACAGTAAGCTCCACAATATTATTGTAATACTAGCTTAGCGCCCATACTACTATTAAACATTTATTAAATAGCGACAAGTTGGAATGAATACATAGTTTCTGCTTTCTACACCCCTGCCACCTTCTCCAGGAACACTTCCTGGACTTGTTTGTGGAGAGTGAAAATATATTTAATCTCAGGTCTCATCTTTCCATACTTAGAAATCCTCTAAGTCTCCCAGCAACAACTTTACACCTGATCCATGAGAAATAAAATGTTGGCTTGGCATGGTGGCTCACGCCTGTAATCCCAGCACTTTGGGAGGCTGAGGCGGGTGGATCACCTGAGGTCAAGAGTTAAGACTAGCCTAACCAACATGGTGAAACCCCATCTCTACTAAAAATACAAAAAAGTTAGCCAAGTGTGGTGGCGGGTGCCTGTAGTCCCGGTTACCCGGGAGGCTGAGACAGGAGAATCGCTTGAACCTGGGAGGTGGAGGTTGCAGTGAGCCGAGATCTCACTAGTGCACTCCAGCCTGGCGACAGAGTGAGACTCCATCTAAAAAAAAAAAAAAAGTGTGTATATATATATTCAAAATTATGGGCATCATCTCAAATATAAAATGTATATCTTTTATGGGCTTGTTTAGCTATTTGGCCCTCCCATCCCCAACCCCCTAAACTCCTTTTTGCTTACCCCAGCCTGGGCCTATTCTGGAAAAACTGTGGGTCCTTCTTGCCAAGACCTCCAGCAGGCCCAGGTCTGGGAGATCCCCATTGTATACATTATCTTCTCTCCATTCCCATGACCACCACTTGGGTCCATGTTCTCCCAACATCACTCCAAGTATTATAACAGTCACTGATTATGGGTTGGGCTCCTTATCTCTGGCATCTCTATCATCTCCCCTCCCCATCCTGCTTATCACTACCAGATTAAATTTTGCCCTGCCTCCTCAGCTGGCAGGATTCAATTCAAACAGCTCTACAAGCCAGCCCCATTATGCTTACCCAGCTTCATGGCCACAACTTGAATTTCTCTTCTTGTCTCTCTGGTCTCTGTGCCCCCAATATGACAAACACATCCTGCCAGTGCTTGAAATTTCCACTGACTGAAATGTCTCCTCCTCAGCTCCTTTGTCTGCAACCAAATCCCATTCTTCAATTTAAGGCCTAGCAAAGGCTTACTTCCTTTGTGAAGTCATTAAGCCCACTCTGATCTCTCTTCTGAGTCCATTCTGTTCTTTCCTTTGTTCTTCCTTTAAAAAACATTTATTAAGGACAACTTTTGAGTGTCAGACCCTGTGGACACAAAGAAAAAGCTTGGGTTCCTGCCTTCAAGGGGCTCACAATTGAGTAGGGAAGACAGACATGTAAATGAAGAACAATAATAGACTATGCTGAGTACTGGAATGGAAGTGCAACAGGAACTCAGAAAAGGTCATTGCTGGAGGGGCCACCTCTGGAAAGGCTTCACCAAGGAAGTATAATTGGAGCTCTGTCTTGATGTTCAAATAAGAGCTGCAGAGAGGGTGCTACCGAGCGGTATATAATCACTTAATTACATATTGCTTTGTATTCTTCTTTGATTGTTTAGTATGCTTGTCTTGACTGCTCGGTGAGGCTAATCAGCTCAAGAGCAGGGACAGGCCTGACACTCTCTGTTCTCCCAGAGCCTAACAGTGGCCCTGGACAAACACTATGTGTTCAGAAAAGGCTTGTCGACTTGAAGTAGATAAATAATCCAGGCTTCTCTGGGAAAGCTGCCTGGAGGAACCCCAGCCCCCACTATAAGAGTCCCCCAGCTCATCCCTAGCAAGGCACCCACATCTGAATCCCCTATCAGAGGCCACCTCCTCCTGCCACAGCGGGGAGATTTCACCAACATACACTTGTTCATGCTGCCCCAGATGTCTTTATTGAGGCCTCTCATTTGACCCAAATACATTAACAAGTGATTGCTGAGATACAGTCCCAAACACAGTATCCTCCCTTCCTTCTGGCCAGGGACAGGACAGTCAGAAAGATACAGGATTAGAGAGAGTGGGGGAAAGCTGTGCGTAGATGGAGGGAACAGAACAGAGATGGGGCCCATATATATGGCTAGAGGAGAATCACAAGAAAGAGTATGGAGAGTGATGGAAGAGACACATAATAGATACAAGTAAGTTATGGGATAAGAAACAGAAGTCAGATAAAAGAGAACTGGGCTGATGTCTAGGGAAAAGTAGCTCATTTCCTCATCAAATGAGGGGGATCAGGGTCTCAGCACCCAACGTATAGACCCCAGTTAGCTCTATGGCGGAGAATAACCTAGTCTCTCTGGAGGAACTCAGGGAAGGACAAAGGAAGGCAGGAGAGAGTATGAAAAGACCAGTGGGGTTGAAAGATGGTTGCCATAGCAACTAGTCATCATCATCGTCATCATCGTCATCGTCTTCTGTGTTGATCTCGCCCTCCAGCACATCCTCCAGCCAGTCCTCCAGCTCCTCAGCAGAAGGCAGGTCCTCCTCATCGTCCATTTCCATCCATACGCTATCCGCCTAGGAGATGGCACAGGCAGGGGATGGAAGCTAAGTCCCACCCAGGTCTTGGGATCTGTGCTCCCACTCACTGTACTCTGTACATCCTTCCCTACATCCTCATTCCCTTCCTTCCATCTGCCAGTGGCCAGAGAAACTGTCCAGGTGAAGGTGTGGGTTAGAATAGTGACAGGTGAGAGTGAGAAGAAAAGGTGGATTGGCAAACAGAGCTTCTCCCTTCAATCTGTCTTCTATGCTCTTTACACACTGAACTTCCCTATCATGCCTTTGGTACAAAACCACTGGCAGCTCTTCATGGCCTATAAGAATAAAGTTAGCAACTCTTCCAACATTCAGGATGTTTTTTTCTTTTCTAAAAGAGACAGGGTCTCACTCTATTGCCCAGGCTCAAGTGCAGAGGTGCAGTCATGGCTCACTGCAGCCTTGAACACCTGGGCTCAAGTGATTCTCCTGCCTTGGCCTCCCAAAATGCTGAGATTACAGGCCTGAGCCACCACCTCGGCCCCAGGGCTTTTCATAACCTGCTTTTCAAGTACCATTCTCAGTGACCTCTAGACTCTCAACAATAAAAATCTACCTGCCTTTTCCGGGAACCTGATATTCATTTTCCTGTTTTGAACTTTTGATCTTGTTTTTCCTTCAGTTTGGAACTGACTTCCCTGAATCATCACTTGTTGAAATCGTATACATTGTATAATCTCCATTTTGAATGTCACTTGTTCTTAAACTTTTCTCTGATTCTGTTAAGCAGAAATCAATGTGATTCCTGTGTCTTATTTTATTTGTATCATTATTTTAAAGTTTATCAGATCTGGCCTTGTAGTTAATGGAATACTTGCCTCTCCAATTAGTCTGAGAATTCTATGAAAGTAGAGACTGTGGCTCATTCAGTTCAACTTAGCAGTTTTGAAGCACCTACTGTGTGTGCATGAGAAGACTTCTGCCCTGAACAAGCTCAAAAATCGACTGGAAGAGACAGACATAATACATAAATAGCCATTTAAATGTCATGTTCTCAATGGCTAATGAGCCCTGGGAATGCCAGGGAGGGAATGATTCTAATGGGAGATCTGGAAAGACTTCACAGAGGAGAAAGGATTTGCACTGGGCCTTGAAGGATGAGCCACTGATTCCAACATGTGGGACAGGGCCACATTCAGATCCTAAGTCTCCCCCTCCATCCAGCCACTAGACTGGGCATGTCTGTGTCTTGTGAGAAGGGCCCAACTCCTAGTTAGCAGAGAGGAGGAGAGCTAGCTATGCTGGGAAGTAGAGTCAAGGGTCCAGGTATGAGGACAGGAAACTCACATCAGTAACATTGACGACTCCTATTTGCGGGGCTGACAAGTCGATGTCAAACGTCTTCTCCCAGTATGGGACCAGCTGTAGAGAGATCCAAATACGGCAACTTAATGGATGCTAAGAGCACAGGAATCCAGGAGGATGAGTGCGAGGGTCAGCCCAGGGATGGAGATGGGACAACATGAACTGGCAGTGGATGGGGACAGGTCCAGCTGTGAGGGCATCAAGGCAATGGGTAGAACTAAACAGCGAAAAAGGAGAAATCCTCAAGGGAGAGCATCGGGAGGGTCAGCCAGGCATACTGGCCCCTCTTTTCTAAGGAAAACTAGATAGGAAACCCTGCTCTGATCCTGGATCAGATCCTTGTGTTCAAGGTCAAGTCACTTCTCTCTGGCCCTCCGATCTTACATTTCTGAAATAAGGCAAGTATACCTGGTAAGTGCCAATGCGTCTCACGTTTCTCTTTGTTCTTTCAGGTACTCATTCAACAATGAGTGCTAGGTGTTAGGAATGTAGCTGAGAACAAAATCATCTCCTGAAACATGGAATCTCTGTGCTATGATTCTATGATGGAGTGTGTAGAGCCATATGCAGGGCTATTGTGCCTCCAAACACTGGTTTTCTTTAGGAGTCAGCCCTAGCACCTGAGCTTCTGCTTCTGGGAATCGTGTGTGATGTCCCGTCCTATTTCCCCTTGCTCAGGATGCCCTCCATGCCAACAGTGCCCTTAAGCATGCAACACACATACCCTCCCAGGGCCCCCCAGCTAGAAGCTGGGGATAGGAACTCTGAAACAAAGCCCTCACTAAGAAGATGCCACAGTCCAAGTCCCTGCCTTAGGATAGCAGTGCCTGAGCTGTGCCTCTTACCAGGGGGAAGTCATCAGGGTCAATCCAGATGATGCTAAGATCTGGGTTGTCAGTGTTATCTTGGGCCACAGCCTTGAGAGTCTCTAAGAACTCGAAACCATCTTGGAGGGAACACAAGTGCAAGGTGTGAGGTGTATGAAGAGGAAAGGGACCCAGATGAAACAGGAGTGCAGAGCTACCTCCCTGCTCCCCAAGCTTCACATGTCTAGCCCTAGGCTGTTTGCAAACTCCCAGGAAAACCTCCGAGTGTCCAACCCAGTATTCCTCCCTCACCAGGATCAGCTTCCTCTGCGAAGGCCACAATGTGGATTCCATCCATATCATCCTCCTGTCGGGCGGTAAGAAGGAGAACAGGGTTTTGGAGAAGACCTTACTATACTCCCGGAAGTTGGGGAGCCCAGAACAGATCCTAGATGTTCATTGAACCTCAATTTTGTGGAAGTCCAGCTTCAGGACCAGATATATTCTTTTGTTTTCTGGTTTTTTTTTTTTTTTTTTTTTTTTTTGAGACGGAGTTTCGCTCTGTCGCCCAAGCTAGAGTGCAATGGCACGATCTCGGCTCACTGCCACCTCTGCCTCCCAGGTTCAAGCGATTCTCCTGCCTCAGCCTCCCGAGTAGCTGAGATTACAGGCATGCGCCACCACACCTGGCTAATTTTGTATTTTTAGTAGAGATGGGGTTTCACCATGCTGGTCGGGCTAGTCTCGAACTCCTGACCTCAGATGATCCGCCTCCCTCAGTCTCCCAAGGTGCTGGGATTACAGGCGTAAGCCACTGCACCTGGCCAGATATATTCTTGTGATGGTGACCTTTTTCCAAGTGACACTCCTTTCAGCTCCAAAGCCCCACACCTCCTCTGATAATCCCTTTATCCCCAGGCTTGAGGCTCCTCCCTTGTCATCTTCAGTTATGTCTGTCTCCCATTTCCTCATACATTCTTCAGTGTAGAAATCCTTCAACTGCTGCTAGTGCACTGTTTTTTCTACAAATGGGCCTGAGGAGCAGCAGGGTGGGATTTTGCTAGGACTTGAGTCTTCTAGCACTCCTGCTTCCCTGAGGGCCTGACCCTGGCCGGGGGCACTCACCCAGGTCTCATACATACTCTCTGGCTTCAGTTTCCTCAGGGTTGATCTAGAAGAGACAGACAGTGTCATTACTCAGTGGGTTAGAAGTACGCCCCCTCCAGAGGGTCCCGTAGCAGAGGCTGCCTCTAGGTCAGGCCCAGGGCACAGACAGCTTGTAGCCTAGAACAAAGCCATCTGGCAAGGCCTCAACTCTGGGCACCAGGCCCAGCTCACTGCATGGTTAAAGCGGTGGGAGAGGGGAGGGTGGGCAAAGGGACTGGAAGAGAGACTCTGGGGAGAAAGGCAAGAACTGGACATCAATGTATTCATTAATGTATTCATTCATTCACTCAGTCACTATGATTGAGTGCCCGATATGTTCTAAGCACTATGCTGGGTGCTGGGTACAGTTGAACCAGGCAAGCATGTTCCTGCCTTGATGAAGGGAGCCAGCAGTATGGGAGAGAGTAACTACTGTTTATACTGGTGATTGGATATTTCCAGCTGTGGACTACTAGGAAGGAAGGGAATTATGTGTAAGTGCCGGGCAGGGTTATTCAACCTCAGCACTATTGCCATTTGGAGCCAGATAATTCTTTGAAGTAGGGGGCTGTCCTGTGCACTGTAGAATGTTTAGCAGTATCCCTGGCCTCTATCCGCTAAATACTAGTAGCACTCTGCACAACCAAAAATGTGTCTAGACATTGCCAAACATCCTTCAGAGGGCAAAAACCTATGCCCACATCGCCACTCCTTCCTACCTTTTAGAGAACCATTGGTTTAGGGTATATTGTATTAGAAAGAACACGGGGCCGGGTGCAGTGGCTCATGCCTATAATCCCAGCACTTTGGGAGACCAAGGCAGGCGGATCACTTGAGGTCAGGAGTTTGAGACTAGCCTGGCCAGCATAGTGAAACCTCATCTCTGCTAAAAAATACAAAAATTAGTCAGGTGTGGTGACGGGCCTGTAATTCCAGTTACTTGGGAGGCTGAGGCAGGAGAATCGCTTGAACCTGGGAGGCGGAGGCTGCAGTGAGCCAAGATGGCGCCACTGCACTCCAGCCTAGGGGATAGAGTAAGACTTGGTCTTGGAAAAAAAAAAAAAAAAAAGAACAAACATGGGACACATCAGGGTTAAAATCCCAGCTCTGACACTTATTACCTGTAGAACCTTTCACTGAGGTTAAAAGGGCTTAATATAATCATAGAGATGGAAAGCACCTTGCAGTTCCTGGCCGGCCACAGGCAGTCAACACTCATTTGTTGACAGAGATTATTTAAGTCTCAATCAACCTCACACTGAATTATACATATGTATGAAGGACCTTCTCCTTGTAGAGCTCAGGGCTAAGTACTGGGGTGTAAAATATTGTGCAAAATTATCAGTGTATCAGAGAGCACTGGTGCCCAACATGTATTCATCTCCAGGCAAGACTGGCTTCCCAGTTGGCTAAGCTTTCCCCAGCCCATCTCACGCAGTGTGTTCTAGCCCAAGGAGGAGCCGACCCCGCTCAGAGGGTTGCCCTTGGTCCCCACCTCCTGTGCTCCTCCACGAAGTTGACAATCTCCTCTTCACTATTGGGTTTGTCTGGGATGGTCACAGGCTCTTCCATGAAGGCTTCATAGAAATCAATCTCATTCAACTTCAGGGTCAGCTTCTTTGCCACCTTTGGGAGAGGGGGTAGGAGGGGAGTGGAGCAGGAGACACAGGGTCATGTTGAGAAGCAGTATTATGGGGGAACAAATATTAGGAAGGGAGTCAGAAAGCTGGGATCCTTGTCACTGCCACTGTGACACTTGACAAGTGTCTTAACTTCTCTAGGGTTGGGTTTAACATGAGACGGGTTTTAGATCATCTAAAGCCCTTCTTCAGCTCTAAATCTATGGAGTGGGAGGAGCCGGGGTGGGGTAGGGAGTGCCAGTGCGTAGGAAGGGACTAGGTCAGCCATCGATTCTGGGAGAGGAAGGTGGAGGACAGCTTCGGGACATGAGGGAGAACCAATACAGCTGTGGCAAGGAGAACCTTGCTGTCGAAGGTGGCGAAGAAGGGGATGTAGGGATGAAACTCCTCAGCTGCATCCTCGAAGGCTTTGTAATCTGTAGGGGGAATGCAGAGTCGGTCTCTCGGGAAACCAGGGTCTGCCAGGGAATCATCCCCCACTACCGTCCCCAGTTCTTTGCAGGCGGGGTTCATTTTGAGACCCAGCCCCTCTAGTTCTTTGAGAGTGAGGGGAAGGTGGGATACTGGAGGTGCTTGTCTGGGAACTCCCAGAGTACAGGGGGTTCAGGTGCTTGCCTGGGAACCCCCAGAGTACAGGGAGGTCAGAGCTGTTGATGATGCCGACCACAGCCAGAGGAAGAGGTGGGAAGTGCGGAGGTAGAGGCTGAGACACTGGGTGACATGGGGAGGTGGGAGGATGGGTGAGATGGGGATCCAGGGAGGGGTACAGTGGAGTCTGAGGGTTACCCACGCTCTGAGTCTTTGCTCTTGAAGTAGCCAATGAGTTTGATCTCATCCTCAATATTCTCAAATGCCTGCAGCTCTCGTTCACCTTCAATCAATTCCACAGGGTCCTCTAGGACCTGAAAGAGGAGGACATTGCAGGAAGAGGGTTTCTATCCTTGAGTAGAACCAGAAAGGGACCTAGGGAAAAGATGGCTGGGGACCTGGAGGAGGGGGCTAGATGTTGACAGTGTGTGCGTGTGTGTGTATTGTGTGCAATGTGTGCAGAGTGTGTGGTGTGCATGTGTGGTGTGTGTGTGTGCATGTGATATATATGCATGGTGGGTGTGTGGTATGTATATCATCTGTGTGTGATGTGTGTCGATGGTATGTGTGTGGTGTGCATATGGTGCGTATGCGTACTGTGTGCTATGTAGGTGATGTGTGGTCTACTGTGTGCATGTGTGGCATGTGTGTGATGTGTGTGAATGTGTGTGGTGTGTGTGCATCTGTGTAGTGTGTGTGCATGTGTGGTGTGCATGTATATGTGTGCGTGTGGTGTGTGTGTGCATGTTTGGTGTGTGTGCATGTGATATATCTGGTGGGTGTGTTGTATGTATATGATGTGTGTGTGGTGTGTATGGATGGTGTGTGTGTGGTGTGTGTAGTGTGTGTGTGGTGTGCGTATGCATAGTGTGTGGCATGCAGGTGGTATGTGGCCTATTGTGTGCATGTGTGGCATATGTGTGATGTGTGTGCATGTGTGTAGTGTTTGTACATGTGTGGTGTGTGTAGTACGTGCATGTGTGTGGCATGTATGTGGTGTGTGTGCATGTGTGGTGTGTGTGGTGTACGTGCATGTGGTGTGTGATGTGTGTGGAGTGTGTGGTGTGCATGTGTGGTGTGTGTGCATGTGATATGTGTGGTGGTGGGTGTGTGGTATGTATATGATGTGTGTGTAGTGTGTGTAGTGTGTGTGGTGTGCATGTGGTGCATATGTGTAGTGTGTGGTATGTAGGTGATGTGTGGCCTATTGTGTGCATGTGCGTCCATGTGTGTGGTGTGTATGCAGGTGGTGTGTGTGCGTGTGGTGTGTGTGCATGTGGTGTATGTGTGTGCGTGTGGTGTGTGTGTGCAGTGTCAGGTTGGGGTTGGTAGGGACTAGGGGGCAGGCAGTGGAGTTTTCAAGCAAAGCCGTCAGGTCCAGGAGAGTCCTTACATCAAGCAGAAACTCCACGATGGTGTCAGCAGAAAACTCGCCATCGTACTCAATGACTTCATCTCCCTTGAATACATACACGCTGTCCACTTCAGTTAGGCCTAGGGAGTGAGCCAGGGCGAGTGAGCCATGATCCCAGGCTTCCCACAGATCCAAGGTCCAAATCCTGGGCCACAGCCCATTTGATAATCACCGGGGCCCCACATGCTCCACCACATGAGCCCGCTGCCCCCCCCACCTCCTCTGACCCCGAGGCCTACAGGCCTGATGTCTCTGCTGCTGGATTTAGCCCAGGAGGCCAGCCTGGCCCCAGGGCTTTCTAGGGAGGAGCTGGGGGATCAAGTAGGGGGAGGGGAGGGAATAGAGAGGTGTAGATTCTAGCAGTATTTCTCCCCTTCTCTGACTGCCACGACTAGGAGATGAGTATTCATGCCACCCCCTCTGAGGACTCCAGTAGCTGGTTCCCAGTCAAGCTCTTTAATTGCTATTACTGACCAGATGACTTCATTATTACTAACCACCCCTCCCCCATCCATGTCCAGAATCCCGTCTCAAGCCTGTGCTTCCCCCTGGTGGCTCGCTGCTGTAACAACCATGGCTCTGTAGGGGAGGAGTTGGAAGCGGAGTTTGCAGAGGTCTGGCCAGCCCAGCCTGTATTCCTTTGCTCCAGCACCTACCATGTTTTTTAGGTAAGTATAAAGAAGGCCTCCCCCACCTCTTTCTGGGATTTGAGCATGGAACTTGATAAGGAATAGAGAGCCAGAGTCTCCCAGCCATAACCCTCCCAACTTCATATTTTCTCACCCCCTCTTTCAGAATAGACATAAATCTGAGATTTCCAAGCCCCTCAGATCCCAAGGTCTGTCTGACAGGTCCTCCGCCCTAAGCCTCCCTTGGTCTCAATGCCACCTTCCCCTCCCCTGCCCTGCCCTCTCTTACCCAGTTTCTTGGCCACAGCTGCATCCTTCTCAGAGTCTACCAGCCCGAAGCCAACACCCTTGTCTTCTAGGACTTGGGCTGCTAACTGGAGGGAAGGATTATGATGAAAATTAGCCCCTGGAATTTTTATTATACCCTATTCTCCCTCTCATGCTTTCAGGTTGGGTCAGTAGAGGTGCAAGAGATATAAGAGTTGACCTTGACCCTTTGCTGAGATCCAGAATATCCCCCAGATTCCCTACAGTCACACAGTTCTGTTTTTGGCTCAACTTAGTTCATGAATATTGATTGCTCGTTTGCAATGTGCTTATTATGTTGGACTTGAAGACACTGCACTCAATACCTCCTAGTGCCTGAGAGGTGCTGAGGATTCTGGCTTCAGAGTGACTGAGGGCCCCTTCCCTCCTTCAGGGTTGAGCCCTGCATTCCATCCTGGTCAAGTCACACCTGGAGGTCCCTGTACCTGGTCAAGGGCCAAGCTCAGTGTGGGGTTGATCTTGGAAGTCCCTGAGATTCTTCAGAATGACTCCCAATGGGAAGAATTTTGAAGGGTGGGAGGGTAGTGGTGGGTCTGGTCATGTTGCTGAGGAGTGGGGAAGGCCAGAGAGCTGAGAGAAGAGGTCACTATTTGTCATCCCCCAGAGGGAGAGAGACTGACGATGACTGGACAGTTCTCCCCATCAGGGCCCAACTTTCCCCTTCCACACTCTACTTCAGCCTGTCCTTAGGCTGTGGACAGTCACTCCTGGAGGTCCCTGCCGCCGTAAGTCGTCCAGCTTAGCATTCAACCCCGATTCTCTCTGTTGTGGGCACAGCTTGCAGCTCTACCCCCACTCAGCACAGACTCAGGCACTGTGATTCTCAGAGGGACGGGGAAGGGAGGCGGTTGGCAGGTGGATGGCCAGGGATACGGAGCAGTCAGGATAAAAATACTCGGCTCATTAATCAGATGGCAGGTTCTAGCACCCAGCAGGGGTGTACAAAATGAGAGCCTGTGGTTCTGGTGTCTCACCCTGAAATGCTCCAAGCTCTGGACGAGCTGAGTCCTATCTGCATGCCAAGCCAGAGCAGGGGCCACAGGAGCTTGGACAAGAAAACTCACACATCCCAGCTCCTAAAGGGGTGTGTATGACCACATAGCCCCGTCATTCCCAAACATAGGTTTTTTTTTTCTTTTCTCATGATAACTCGTTGCTCCTTTGGGCCTGAAGTCATTTTGGAGGTGAGAAGGCTCTTCCCACAAAGAGAAGATTGGGGAAGACATTCTGACACCTCCAGCAACCATAAGAAATTTTCCAGTGAAGGCATCCGGCTCATCCAATGGAGACAAATGGGGAATTAGGGAGGGGGAAGAAAGAGGGGGGGGACTGGGAGTCCAGTGGGAGGCATGATCTCTAGAAGATATTTAAACATGGCACGCAAGTATCATAACATTTACATCTACACTCAATTTGGATTTCTTTGGGGTGCAGCCCCTGAAGTATATGGAGAGATGTGTTCTGGCTAAGTGGATGGGTGCGGTAGGGGAGTGCAATATACACTGCTGTTCTCCCCTGGCCCTCCAAGTACCTTTTCCCCTTCCCCCCCCCACCGTCCTAGCGAAACCTAAGTCAAATACTACCAGCCTCCTACAGCAGGGAGGGGAGTTCTTCCGGCAGCACCCCCACTAAAGGATTACCTAACGACGACAGTACTTTGAGGTTCCTGAGACTCTGCTTCTCATTTGACTAAAGCCACATGCCACTTGCGTCCTGTTGGTCAAGACAGGGGTCCTACCACACTGCCCCTTGCCCCCAGATCCCATCCTCAAAGAGCTGGGATGTAGGATAGGGGATTCCAGAGAGGGGCCAGACATGCTTTGCAGGCCTGCAGTGCCCCCAACTCACCTCCAGGATCAGCTCCTCCATCTCAAATTGTCTTTGTGAGGCCTTGTCATCCTCGGGGGGTTCATGGTAGAGGAGTGCCAGCACCTCATACTTCTTGAACACATTCTTGTAGTTCTTTGCATTGACATTGATCACACGGTCCACACCATCGTATTCAGGGAAGTCCAGCCCTTCCTCCCCCTGTACCCCTGACTTGGGTGTCGCTAGCACCAGCAGCAGCAGCAGTGCCAGCCGCAGGCCCGGCACAGCTCTGGGCCCCATCCTGCCTGTAGCACTCATGGAGGCAGTGGGATCTGGGTTGGCTCTCCTGGTCCAGAAGAGGTTAGCTGGGGTAGGGAGGGGCCCCTGGGTCCCAGATTCTGAGTTAGAGGCTCAAGTGGGAGGGGGGATTGGGGAATGGCCCAGAGCAGTGGACAGAGGACACTGCTGAGTCCTGGAGAAACTGCCGACAGAGCCAAGGGAAAAAGGGTCAGGAGGAGGAATAGGAGCAGGGGGCGGGGAGGGAACCGGAGCTGCCCCCTTAAATTGGCACCCCTCAGTCCCCACCTGGTCCTGTCTAAATATGTCTCCATGGTTGGCAGGAGAGACGGATAACCTTCTGAGGCCAGGACAGCTCCATGTGGGCCGAAATCCTCCCACCTCCTACACTTCTACCCCAGGCTCCCAGGGGCTCCTTCCCTCCCCCTCCTCTGGTGTCCAGGGCACCTCAGCCCTGGTCCCCATGCTGGCCTAAGAGCTCATCGCCATATTAAGAAAGGAAAAGGAGAGATGCCGGAGCTAAAAATAAGACCAGATGAGTCGGAGGTAAATGAAGCTGGGGCTGGGGGAGGGGAGGAATAAGGGTAATTAGGGAGGGCCGAGGGTAGGGCAAGGGTAATTAGAAGTTAAATGCAGTGGAGAGGAGGAGCTAACGGGGTCAGAGGCTAAATTGATAATATAGGGTAAAAGGGGGCACATGTGGTGTTGGCTGTATGTCCTCAAGCCTGGGAATCTTCTGTAGGTGAAGTCTGATTCTGATTCTTTGATCCTGTGTAGGAGAGTGGGGCAATGAAAGTGCAAGCCAGGCTGCAGGAAAGAGACCCCCCTCCACTTTCTTTTAAAGAATCAGGACCAAGGATGAGGTCATTCTCTGAATAAAAGATGGAGCCGCGTCCAAGACTGGCGACCTGGCTCAGCTCCAGCCAGTTTCCTTTGCTTCACTCAGCACTCCTAACTTGGGAATGCAGGGAAGGACAGGGCTGACCCGGATCCTGTCCTGTAGAGATGTGGGTTTGGGGTTTCTCTGCCCATACAGCCCACAGTGAGAAGGGAACTGTCATTTGGTTGCCACCTGTGTGTGCACTCCCTCCCCTGATCCTATGGGACTCAGTTTTCTGGGGCACAGTGGGAAGGGAGGTTTTCCCAGGCTGCCTGCTTCCAAGGAGAGTGAATAGCTACTATTTATTCCCACGTCTTTGACAAGACAAAGAGGATCAGTTACTGACACTAGGGCAAAAAAAATTAACATTAGGTAAGCATGAAGAGGTGAACCCTGTGCCCTGAACCAAGACTGATGATTAATTCTGTGCACCCGAGATCCGAAGCAGAGTTGGGCAGGCAGGGGCTTAAACTTCTGGATCCAGCTTGGGGGTGAGGACAGAGTAGTGAGTTTAACTCTGGATACGTAGGAAGGAAGGATCCTCTTCATGGCCCTCCAGGGTTCTTACTATGCACAGGTAAACTGAGGCATGAGGGAGACCATAGAGGGTCAGATCAAAGTCACATGCTGCCACCGCACCCTGAGGTATCTCTGATTCTAGAGAGAGAGTGCCGGTTTTTTGTGTTTGTTTTTGCATCCAGGGAGGGGCATGTAATTATGTTAGCAGAATAACTTTTCCACATGTCTGTGCAGTGGACCTTACACAGCTAAACAAGAAGGCCACAGAAAATCTCAAAAGCATGGCAGGAGTGAGGCCAAGAGGGACAGCTGTCACTGTAGTAGGAGAGGTCGGAGCTAGCCTAAGCACAGCACGTTGGAGCTGAAGAGACCTCGGAAGCCCATCTTCTGGTCTCCCTGAAGAGTGACTAATGTGGGAAAGCACCATGGCCAGAGGAAGACAGCCAGGTGAGATGGGGAGGCCTGGCCAGAAGCAGATGACCTAGGTGATGTCCAGCCCCGATTTCTCACTTCTGCATTCCAGGGGAGGAGGGAGACACTGGGACAGAGATGCTGGAATATAAAACTTGTTCCATCTTGAATCTGACCTTTTGTACCCCCAAGAGTGTGAGATGGGACTCTGATGGCGAGTCTGCTCCATCTCCTAGTCCTTTCCTACAGCTACCGGACATTGCCATCCATCCCATTCCCTCTCGTTGCCCTCTCTGGCTCCAGTCCCACCCTTCCCCTTTCCAGCGCCCGTCCCTGCTGCTCTCTCTCTTGATGCTTCACTCTCTCTACTTTCTACTCAGTCTCCTTTCCTTCAGGCCTTTGGACTTGAGAAGCCTCAACCACTGGTATCAAATGACCGTGAGTTGGGGCCTCTGTATTTTTAACCCATCAGACACCTGAAGCTCCTGCTAATGAAACCTGAGGAGCTGGCCCCTCTGTGCTCCGGCTTCCCACCTCACTCACATATACCCTGGACCACTGATCTTTCAGGGTCTGGTTCAGCCATGTCAGCAACTGGGGAAGGACCCCAGGCTGATATAGCACTGTCCCTAGGAGACCTTGTGTTGGAAGAGGGAGGAGAAGAGGGAGAGAGACCTCTGAGGAGGGGCCTGATGTAGGGAAAATGGCAGGCAATACTCATGATGGCCTTCTCCTTGCTAGCCCATGGCCCCTCATCCTCCAGACCCACCCCGGGTCCTTCCCCATCACTAGCCTATTTTTTTTGTTGTTGTTGTTTTGTTTGCTTTGTTTTTGTGTATTTTTGACCCAGCCCTCACTGAAAGACTAGTCTGAAAGTGATTAAGGGCACATGTTCTGAAAACTGACAGACCTTGGTTTCTTCTTGGATAACATGGAGTGTGTGGTAGGGAAATATTTATGTGACTTACTTGATGGTGTATATAAAGCCCTCGTCCCAGTGTTAGGCATAATGTGCTGACTCCTAGTACGTGTGTTTTGTTTTGGATAATAGCTGATGGTTTTCCCCTGGCTTTCTTTAGCATTTCTCTTCCACCCTGTAGACATTGGCACAGCCAATGGTCTACTCTGAAAGAGGCCTGAGAATGAACTGACCCACATGGCACGGTGGAGGGGCTCACAGAGCAAAAGTGAATGAGCGGGTGAAGGGGAAGGAAGAAATGCTGAGATGAAGAGGGGCAGGAGAGAAAGGCCCCCCAGGACTTTTCACTCATCTGAGAAGGCACCTGGGCCCAGGCACAGAGGCCAGGTTCTTGGGAAAGTCCATCACCCCATGCAGAGCGCGGGCAGCTGCTTTACCTATAGTAAAGGCCACAGGGATTCAGAAAGTCTTGTTATAGCCTCTATCTCAAGGTTACACCAGAGAAAACAGGCTGAGGGTCAGAATGGGGTTGAGGAGTCCTGATGACAGAGGGCAGGGACCACCAGTATGCCTGGAGTCTGTCCCTCCTACCTGTCCCTTTCTCAGATGAGGGACACCACTCAGCACATGACCGTTCCCAAGTCATTTAACCTCTCCGGACTTCAGGCTTTTCACTGATGCAGTCTGATCTCTTCTAGCACCACAGCGCTGTGGTCTGCAAGCTGGTCTCACAAACTGCAAGGTGTGGTCGGATGAGTCCACCCCACCCACCCCGTGTGGATGCTGTGGACCCTCTCCTATGTGTGGCTCAGCTGCTCCTCTCTCCCCCACCTTCCATTTCTCTGATCTCAGCTGGAGTTTTGAGGCAGTCACTTGCCCTGTCCTTGCTGTCCAGTGGCTCAGAGAGTGACTTTAAAGGGCAAGGATGCTTGATACTGATCCTATCCCAGCCTTGACTCTGGTCCTTAAAACACTTCCCCAGCCTGGTCATCATGAAGACCTGTGGAGGGAGCTTCACAGTAATCCCCACTCCCCCAATATCAGATTTGACACATCCAGCCGGTGAGGGCTTTTCCAGACATTTACTGTCTAGACTGGCTACAGGATTCAGCAGGACCATGCCCCTCCCTGCAGGGCTCCAGCTAGAGGCAGGCCGGGCTTCCCTTCAGCCCACCTCATCCTCTGCCTGTGATGCCCTCAAGCCAGCCCAGGATTGCCCATCTTTCTCATCCAAGATAATTCATCCTAGTGTCTCAGATGTTGTGTCAAACTTATAATCTCTGGCCCCACCCCAGCTCTCACGACACCCCTGTGTCACAGGAAGCTCTTCCTCTGCTGAGTTTAGTAGTACGTCTCCCTCTCCACCCAGCCTGTGGAAGAGAAGAGGCCAGTGTGAACTGGAAGAAGGGAGGAGAGGCATCCAGGGGAGACAGGCAGAAGGGAAAGCAGGGACAAGGTTGGAGGTGGGAGGTCTGGAACACAGGGCACTGAGGGTCAGATGGAGCAGGCGGGTGCAGCCAAGGGGTGGAGAGGTCTGGGTTCCAGGTGCAGTCAAGGCTGGCAGCGAGGAGGGGAGAAAGTCAGTGGTGGGTCTGGAGGGACTAGGCGGGATGGCGGAGCTAGTCAGGGGGCTGGTGACCACTCAGTCAGAGCGGGGCCCAGGGGAGCCTCACCACCCGGGTGCTGACGGATGAGGAGTTTTCTGATTTCATCATAGATGAAGATGAGAATACTGTAGGGAATGGCACAGAGCCACCAGGTTATCCTGTAGAGAGCAAGAGCCAGTCAGCATGGCAGGAGAGACAGATGCTAGAGGACAGGTGCAGAGAGTAATATGCACAGGAATTGCATGTTTCATTGCTTGTGTCTACTGTGTGCCTGGGACTGTGCTGGGGACGGTGCAGTTGCGTAACATCTGGTTGATCCTTCCTTTTTTTTTTTTGAGACAGTGTCATTCTGTTGCCCAGGCCGGAGTGCAGTGGCGCAATCTCGGCTAGTGAGGCAGCCTCTGCCTCCCTGATTTGAGTGATTCTCATGCCTCAGCCTCCTGAGTAGCTGAGATTACAGGTGCGCACCACCACTCCCAGCTAATTTTTTGCTTTTTTTTTTTTTTTTTTGAGACAGTCTCACACTGTCACCGAGGGTGGAGTGCAGTGGCGTGATCTCAGCTCACTGCAAACTCCACCTCCCAGATTCAAGCGATTCTCCTGCCTCAGCCTCCCGAGTAGCTGGGACTACAGGCATGCACCACCACGCCCAGCTAACTTTTGTATTTTTAGTAGAGATGGGGTTTCACCGTGTTGATCAAGATGGTCTCGAACTCCTGACCTTGTGATCCGCCTGCTTCGGCCTCCCAAAGTGCTGGGATTACAGGCGTGAGCCACCATGTCTGGACAATTTTTTGTATTTTTAGTAGAGACTAAATTTTTTGGATTTTCGCCACTTTGCCCAGACTGGTCTTGAACTTTTGAACTCAGGCAATCCGCCCTCCTCAGCCTTCCAAATGCTAGGATTATAGGCATGAGCCATCGTGCCCGGCCTGAGACCTACCTTTGAGGAGGTCAAAGCCTGTGGGATTAGTGATTGGGAGTGGAAAAGAGAGGCATGAGACAGAAACATAAAGAGCCAGTGATAGCCGGGCGCGATGGCTCACACTTGTAGTCCCAGCACTTTGGGAGGCCGAGGCAGGCGGATCATGAGGTCAGGAGTTTGAGACCATCCTGACCAACGTGATGAAACCCCGTCTCTACTAAAAATACAAAAATTAGCCGGGTGTGGTGGCATGTGCCTGTAATCCCAGCTACTCAGGAGGCTGAGGCAGGAGAATTGCTTGAACCTGGGTAGTGGAGGTTGCAGTGAGCGGAGATCGCACCACGTGCTCCAGCCTGGGCGACAGAGCGAGACCGAGACTTCCTGGAAAAAAAAAAAAAAGCCAATGATAATATAATATGATAAATGTCATATTAGAGGTACATGCAATGTTCACAAGATTCTCTGCCAACTTTTGTGGAGCCACTGAGGGAGACCCGTGTGCTCTCTGCATACTCTAGGGCTTGTGCCCACAAAGGGGAGGTTGTCTGAGCAGGAGGGGTCTATCTGAGACATCTAGTGTGGGGATACTTTGTCAGCGAGTATACTGATGCTTCTGTATTACAAAGATGGGGACATTGTTTTCTTCCTCCACCTCTTTTTATAATTAGACCAGGAAGATGGATTCTGGGGAGGGGCTGAATCAGGACAGCAGTTGTTCCCTTGGATGACAGAAGAAATGGCCTAGACCAGCACTGTCCAATAGAAATATAATGTGAGCCACATGTAAAATTTAATATTTTCTAGTAGCCACATTAACATAAGTAAAATGAAACAGATGAAATTAATTTTAATAATATTTTTATTTAACCCAATATATCAAAAACATTATCATTTAAATATGTAATCAATATAAACATTATTTATTTTAATTACATTTAATGTATTTTATAGAGACAGGGACTTGCTGTGTCCTCCAGGCTGGAGTGCAGTGGCACGATCATAACTCACTGCAGTCTGGAACTCCTGGGCTCAAGCGATCTTACTGCCTCAGCCTCCTGAGTCGCTGGGACCGTCGGTGTGCACGGCTACACCTGGCTAAGTTTTAAATTTTTTTGTTGAGACAATGTCTCACTTGGTGTACAGTCTGGTCTTGAACTCCTGGCCTTACGCGATCCCCCCATCTTGGCCTCCCAAAGTGCTGGGATTGGAGCCACTACACCCCCGCCTCAATATTAGCATTATCAAGGTCGGGCGTGGTGGCTCACGCCTGTAATCCCAGCACTTTGGGAGGCCGAGGTGGGTGGGTCACAAGGTCAGGAGTTTAAGATCAGCCTGACCAACATGATTAAACTAAAAATACAAAAATTAGCTGGGCATGGTGATGCGTGCCTGTAATCCCAGCTACTCAGGAGGCTGAGGCAGGAGAATTGCTTGCACCAGGGAAGCGGAGGTTGCAGTGAGCTGAGATTGTGCTACTGTACTCCAGCCTGGGCAACTGAGTGAGACTCCATCTCAAAAAAAAAAAAAAGGCATTATCAATAAGATACTTTACATTCTTCTTCTCATCCTAAGTCTTGGAAATTCAGTGAATATTTTTCACTGACAGAATGTCTGAACTCAGATATAAAATTTCAACAGTTGAAAGGGAATGTGGTCCAACCAAAATAATGAAGTTGTAATGTAGAAAAATATTTCACATTGCTTTAGTTTTTGACTTTAATTAAAATTGAATAAAATTACAAATTTACTTCCCCAGTCTCACTAGTCTCATATGTCGAAAGCACAGTAGTCGTATATGGATATACGGTATATGGATATACCGTATTGGACAGTACAGGCCTGGGCCATGGCTCATTCCACATGCACACAAATATAAACATTTCTTTTTTTTTAAAAATTATTATTATACTTTAAGTTCTAGGGTACATGTGCATAACGTGCAGGTTTGTTACATATGTATACTTGTGCCATGTTGGTGTGCTGCACCCATCAACTCGTCAGCACCCATCAACTCGTCATTTGCATCAGGTATAACTCCCAATGCAATCCCTCCCCCCTCCCCCCTCACCCCCTCCCCATGATAGGCCCCGACAAATATATACATTTCTACACAAACAGCCACCCCACCCCTTCATTCAACAAACAATTGTTTTATATACTGTGTGTCTGTGTTAGGTATTGGGGAAATAAAAATGATAACATGTTGGTCTCATGTAGCTCTCAAGGAGCTCAGGGGAATCAGAGAAAAGAGGGTGAACACACACACACAGAATACAGAATTGCAATATTAGGTGCTAAGTTTTATGGTTAAGGTGTACACAGAGTGTTTGAAAGCACAGATAATACTCAAGGGCATTTGTTATTATGTCTATAATGGCATTAATAGCAACAAGAATAAAGCTACTAGTAACAAGGCGTCCACCATGACCCAAGCATGCTTGGTGCTTTATGCCCATTTCTACGTGTAAATCTCACAACACTCTGCAAGGTCCATCCCGGGAGTGTATTATTGAGACTTTGCAGGTGTAGCTGAGGCTCAGAGTGGTGCCGTACTTGTCCAAGGTCAC